TCACTCTAAACAGAGAACAGAAATGAACCAATACAAGTCAGTGAGTTTAAATTCAGGACCAGAACCCATTTGCGAAAGACATCAAATACACTGTGGCGCCTTTAGATGTAATAAACCTCACGTCACACTATTCATCGCTAAATGTGTGGACTTCATTACCATACACTGAGAGAGGCCTCTCTGTGCATCACTTAATCCTGGTGGGTGAAAACTAACAAAGCACACATCAGCGCCATCAAACTGTTTCCAATTTACTCCTACGTTCTCTAGTGCAATACACATTTTCACCTCGACCGAGCCAATCCATAAGTTATTTTTACGAATCACTAGCCCCATCTTTCACCGTGGCTAGTCATTTAAAACAGGACTTTCTCAGAGGAATAGTGAGGCGCGTAAATAATATATTAGGCAAACGCATGGGTTATGCCTTTCATGATGCTACATTCAAAACGTTGCTCAGCAATGCCTGTTCTCTTGTACATAAAATGTACTTGGTCCGCTGCTTCGTCGCCCATCATCAAACCCATCTCCATCTTATTAACTAATCGTGGTTTACGGATGAGACTGCGGACCATCTTATTGCTATCCAACATTATTATTTCTTTCGAAGGCACCGATATCACTGTAGGTGAGGTGGTTGTCTCATTTAATGTATGACCAACTTATGTGTTTCACAATGCAGTGACGAGCAATTCTCAACCTTCTTCAAGACAATTATGATAACAGTGCTTCTGGGTATAAATAATATATTGGTTGATTGCGTTTAATAACCGTTAAACACTTCTGTCCTTGAAAATGAAGTGCTTCATAATGGGATGAGTCATGTCGTTATAACTCATATTTCCTCTAAGGCCATTGGAAGATATCTCTAGTGGATAGAGCGCAATGGTAAGGGAAAGCAACCTACAGCTTGTCTTGCTTATTTGGGGGGCTGGACGCAGCATGTAACATCTCCCATAAGGTTGGGTAATACATTCGACTTCATGTTCACTGCTGTTGAATTAGCTGTTGTTATCGACGTATCGAGCTGTCTGCACGGTGGTGTTGTCAGTTGTAAATTAAACTTTGCCCATACACCGAAAGTCCTGTTTCGATACGTGTGTACTTTTGGCGGAATAAACTGGAGAAATTGTGCTACCCTTGTGCATACTTCTGACTAATTTCTTCCTGTGTTCTAACCTACCGGTGACTTTTCGAACATTTTACGAGGAGGTGAATCAAGGATCCGAAACGCTGCAGTCTGATCTAACGAGCTTCCAAAATACCTTGCAACTCCTGGAAAGACAGCATGAATGTAACATAAGAATTCATTCCAGCATATTCAAAAACCAGCAACTTTACAATAGCAATAAAATATGAAAATTTGCGAAACCTTCGTCTCAAGAGAGAAGAGAATGATGTCTTAAAATGCATGTACCTGTACTTAAAATAACACGATTACTAAAAACCATAGCTGCAGAAAATTATACCCACGTCTATATTATACAACGCCTGCGCGTGTCCTTATCAATACTCCTGCAGTTGTAGCTGAAGCGTATAACAATTATTTGGCTGAAACATTCATTACTGGGAAGGAGACAAATTTTTATCTCTCCACAAATTACTATGGGCCATGTATCTCTAACGTTGATAAAAAAAATTATTTCCATCAAGCATCAGATTAAATAAACAACAATTTCTTCCTGGCCCAGCTGGAATCCCTCCAGTGCTTTTATAGTACCGTGATGCTGTTTTCGCCTGTTTACTACTGAGCTTGTTTACTCCATAAATGACAACTGCTTTTTAAAACCGACGAAAATGGCATTTTTATCACACCTGGACTAGACATAACGTTACAATTGGTCGGCGCATAAATCACATTACGCCACAATAAAAATGGAATCGTTAAATTCCTAACACCAATCAATCTTTTGTAAAAATTGCAGCACATATTCCTTCAAAAGTTTTCTTGCAAACTGCCAACTAGCTTTCCTTGATCACTTAATTAAGTTGATATTGCCTGGAAAGGCATATATAGTAAGTTACTCAGACTTTCAAGTACGTTTGAACAGTTCCAGGGAAAACGCTTATACATTAAGTCCACCCAATTTGAACCGCGTTCTCATTACTATCCAAGGATAGAAATTTACCTCACTGGTTGAAAGCAGACAGCCGAGATAGATGAGTATCTGTCAGAAACAAGAGATATCACTAGTGATGTGCTGTAAGTTAGTGTACTTGGTCTCTTTTCTTTTTGATATATATGGATGACTCTTTCACATTAAGGTACATTAGATATTATTTTTTGCAAATGCGTGAAAAGATTATTCAGCCGCAGATTCCAAACAACTGACTTTTTTCATCAGGGATCTAAAGTGATCTAGTTCTACTGGAAGAATGGAGTGTTGGAGCTTTTGTAAAATTTTCAACATCTAACCAACCTTATGTGCTATTAACTTGGCGTTCCACCGGAATGTTTGGTTTTGCATGAAATCTCACTCTGTTTATGTGAATCGATATGTGATTTATACCTCTTGTACGCAAGTTAGTAGAATTTCACGGAAAGGCTGAGTAAACGGTGACTATAACACGACAGACTTGGTACGAGAGGCCTCCTATTTATTAGATGCTCACATCACTCAAAATCTAAGCCAGACTAACCTAGGAATACGGTGTTACCAATTTTAGTAGCATTAGAAAACGGGACACAATTGCACTCGAAGCCGCGCATGATCTATTACTAAATGTATTTTGGGCTACACCTCAACACTCACTATCCGCCGGTATTCCAAGAATTTTCACTGGATGACCTAGGAAACAAAGACTACGTGATAAGGCTAACTCGTTGCCCTAAACGTGTAAGGTAAACATCTGTACACATAAAATCTCCCACGCTACGGAGTAGACTGCATCAAGTCAGCAAAATGTCCACTTCGCTCCGAACATTTGCAATGCAGCTTAAAGATAACTTAGCAGTTAAAACAACTGAGAGCTGTTTCGAATAAGTTACAAAAGCGGATGGGTATACGAGAACGTGCCTGATAACATCTAAACATTTGCGGAAATGGTAATGCAAAAGTGCAGATAAAGATGGAAACACAAGCTCGTCGACTTGATGTGAATGCATTGTTCTCTTCTAAGAAGCTTTTGCTAGGTAAATCAGCTCTCTCATCCATTCTTTCTACATCGTTACACCCTTCAATATTACTCAAATCGATGACCTAACTTTGGCCTATGAACGTTTGGGCACCTCGATAGATTGGACAAATGTGATCTAACCCTGATTTTCTTTTCTTCTATAATGTTATATTCTGCTTGTTCTTTAGATTGATGGCCCGTTGGTGACCTAGGAAAACATGGACACATAAATGATTTGGATAGATGAGATTTACCTTTAATTTTTCTTCATCTGCAGTGCTTATTATTGTGACCTCAATTAGCCTGAGGACTCATCACACAGTACTTCAATCTCCATACCCAAAGAAACGGGAGACATAAGTTTCTACAAGACGTGAACTTACTGAGACGCTGAAATAGCAAAAGCTTGCAAATAGTCCCCACGTTATGTAGTTAATTCCATTCGCACTGTGTTATCTTACCATCTGTGTGAGGCATGTCGACCGTTCTATTTGTGTAAACAGTTCTTGATAGAGACAGTGCCCCGAATATATGCTTATCGTCGATATACTTTCTTTTCTGGTTATACATTATCGTCATTCTTGAAATTATTATTATCTACCAAAGTGATAAAATTTTACCCATATTTTTCCCTGTGTATTTGTTAATCTACCTCTGTAATCATTTTCATTTCATTTTATTTTACAAAATTTGACCTAAACATAACCGAGCGATATGCAATCCACTTTCAACCCGAAAAATTTTGAAACGAAATCATGGTTGATGTAAGCATTAGAAAGGGATTTATATCCGTTCTTATTCAAGAAAAACGCAATCGGAAGGTGTATTTAACTGAAAGATATAATTCGCACCAAGTTGTTCTCGTACAGTAGTCCTGCAAAATCCGTTTACGTTTTCTTTGTACCTTTTGGTCGGATCAAGTTTGCTGTGCCATGCCTTACCCAATAATTTACATATCAATTATATTTTAATAATAACTAGGAATCCTTGGTGACGCTACGGCGCAATGAGACAGAACATGAGCGTGGGAGAAGAATTACGGCCGTACTAAAACGATTAAAAGATGCCCATGTGAAGCTAAGTCTCAAGAAAACACAAATTGCTGCGATGGCGATTTTTGTTTGGGTCACATCTTACTAAAAGATCTAATACTGCTATCGTCTAGAAAACCGTAATTAATTCCAAATTTTGTGGTTTCAAGTCCAAATGCCTGCTTCTTTTCTGCACCGGATTCTTGGCACGCAGTTCCAAATTCCTCCCTCATACTGTAGGGCCTATCAGTACATTACTGAAGCTGCTGCATAGAGACAAGCCGTTCGTATGGACAATCGAAGCAGAGAAAGCATTCAACCACATTAAGGCATGATTAGCACAATCACCAAAGTGATCACGGCTACTCAATCTGAGAGAATATGTACGGAGTCAGCCGATGCAAGAAACATCGCAACAGATGCAGCACGATCCCAAACATCGCGTGTAGTAGAAAATGTCATTAGAATGTCGGCAGGTGCCGGGCGGACGTACTCCACTACGGAAAAAGGATACCCTGCTATCGAATGGATCTTGGAAAAGTGGAGTACATAGTGGCAGGAGAATTCCACGTTATTACAGACCACAAACTGCTCTGTTGTTCGGTGAGAACAAACGATCCGCGAGGACACCTTGCACAATGGTCATCTCAGCTCCAAGTATTCGACTTTACAATCCGACAGGTAGATGGGACTAAGAACGTACTTCCTGTCATGCTGTTGCGGCCGTCTTTTGGACGACTTCATAGAGGAAGCGGCGACGCCGGTTTTTTCAGCCACAACGGAGGACAGCGAGCTATTCAAGTACAATGCGTGTAGTACTAAAGCAGCTGTGCAAACAACTAGGCATCAAGCTGGATACAACATCAGGTTGTCCAGGTAACTCGTTATGGTCTTGGATCGGCTATGCACATTAAGTAGTACTTTGCTGGTTTCAATAAACGGAATGAAACTACTTTTACCCCATAAGGTCTGCAAAGCAGATAATTCAAGTAATCCATAATAGCTCACACAAGAAGAAGAAGTGTATGTTCTCCTCGGCGCGAGACTGAACCCGAGGGCCATATCAAAATATACCGAAGCATCATGCTCAATCATGTGGTTTCCAAGTGTTATTAGTCAGGTGCTTTTAAAATGTGGGATTCCAAATGGACAGATGACAGCGCACGCAATGGGTGTGATAGGTTGCAGTTTGTCTCCTGTGTGAGGTTGCGATCCAGTTTACAGTGCACGTTTTCAGTTTCTTCACCCAGATGGCGAAAGCAGCCAATCAAATCTCCCGATAAATGTGAAAATGGAGCAGGAGAATTAGGTTAAACTGCGAAAAATATAACAAAGGAATGCTGTCTCTAAAGGTGAAAAACCATAAGACTAGACATAAATTTGTATATATTAAGCGAAATACAATGCAACTAGCTAAAGCAATTGTTTAAGCATGCAAAAGATACGCATTATTCCATTCACACACTAAATCTGTGTGACTTTGGAGGGCAACCCAACGAATTGGATTACCAGCCTAAAGAGCTTTCTAGAGGAAAAGTAGGGAAAAATAACAATAAACAAGCCAAACGCAGCACACAAACTGTGCTCTACCTTATTATGACAAAATAAATGCGGTTTGGAAGAGATTTTGACTTTTTAGGAGGAGGAGTATGTTACCTACTCATGAGAATTGACTTGGTTACAATATTCATGGATGCCCAAACTGTTAAACAGTCCTGGAGATAGATACGCCAATTCCGCTATTACAATTGATTGTAGGCAACGAAAATCTGCATTGCTGGATAGTAGATATACATGGACCATTTACGCTGAGCTGATAAGATAACACTCACATCCTTGCCGTAATTAGACATTTCACCCGATGAGTCGAAGTCACGTCTATTAAAGATCAAGCAGGCGAGACTGTGGTACAGATGTTTGAATTCCACGTTCCATCGAGGTATGGAACACCTAGCTGCGTTATCACTTACCAAGGGTTTACTTTAATTCAAAAACGTTCCAGGCAGTATTAGTCATACGGCGCACCCAGAGAAGAAACATTTCACTCTATCATTCGCAAACTAATGGGATGGCAAAACGGTTTAACCGGATCATGAAGACATAGATTAAGTGCACAAAGGTAGCATGGGAAGAAGTTTTGCCCGAAGTATTACTTGCTTATCAAACCAGCCTGCCAAAATGTGTCAAAGTTTAGCCCTTTGAAATTCAAGTTGGGAGCGAGCCATTAATTGTACTCGATATGTGCTAAGTAATAAATCAGGGTTCGAACTTTCAGCAGCGCAGCACGCAAAATTGCAACCAACCGCCCGCAAGGGGACATAAGCTTTACAATTACGGTATAAGCGAACTATGACTCAACAAGAAAGGAAACCACTCAAACTAGGAGATAAGGCAAGGCTTGCAATAAGGATACTCAGGCACACAGAAGAAAAGGTACCAACAATTTTCGTCAACATTGGATAGCTCCGTACAAGATAATCGACCGAAAATGAGGAACTTTTCGAGTGAACAAGGAGACAACGAAATGACGGGTAAATGCATATATCTTCCAACCGCGGCATACCAGAGAACCACTTCTTCGAGAGGGGAAGGCGTAGTGCGACAAAACGCAATGGTCACAAGCGAGAAGGACAATCCTCGGAAACTAAGGAAGGGGACACTAACAAGAATACCAGGGCCGAAAATCAGAAAGACAACCTGAGCTCTACGGAACAAGCGCGAAATGGGTCAAGAGAGACGAACAATGTCAAACCAACCCTGAGCAAAGTGGTGGACCTAGTGACAGAAAGCCCGACATTTCCGTAAGATTTGAATGTAGTCAAGTCCCCGAGAATAACTCCATGCAGAGCAAAGAAACCAGGAATCAGTAACACTAGAGAATTTGGAAGAATTCAATCAGGTCAGGATACGACGACTAAAAGCAAAGAGGCGTGAGCAAAATGGTCCAAAATATCTCGCACATTGTATGTAATCGGTGCAGATATTTACACAAAACCTTCCAAACCCAGTGCAGATATTGAAGAGGAATGATAAAGTATGTGAGCACAGACATTTCCGAACCACAGCACACACACTTGCACCGAAAACTAACCATCGGCAATGCCGCCAGACAAATCAAAGGAAATTCGTTGTTTTAGGAAATTGAAACAATTAGCTTCCCTGGTAGTTGAATAAAACCTTAAGAAGAGCAACACAGGCACATTACTCGATAGTAGTCGGATTTTAGTAACAAGGTTCAGGCATTCATCCCAGTAGTTCGCATGCTACATAGCACAATCTAGTCCGGAAAAGCACCATAAGCGTTTCGCCCTACTGGGTCTTGTCAGTAGTGCGCAATCCTTCGGCTTCTAATGATAATCGAACCCAGTACCGCTAGACGTAGATGCCAACTAGCCAGCAGATCAGGCTACTTAGCCATTGGGGACTTTCGCTAGGCAATATAATTTGCAAGGTAACTGCGGTACATCCCGATATCGTATACAATGATTAATGAGAGTGGCGAGCCGGCGAGGTCAAGGCGTCATGTAGTCCGACGTTTCGTCCATAGCTCTTCAACATAAGCGAGCATATATATATTATATTACTCGCGAGTAGCCAGATTTTAATTAGAAGTGCTGGGCTTTCCTCTCAGTAGTTTGCAAGCCATACAGAATAGCCTAGTCTGGGAAAGCACTAGACGCGTTTCGCCCGATTACGGCTTGTCAGTACAGCGCATGTCCTTAGTCACCTCATGGGGATTATACCAATGACATCCAGCGGCAGACACCAACTAGCCAGCAGAAATAGCCATTAAGGCGTAAGGAAGTTTGAATGGGATATATAATTTGCAAGTTAACAGAGATATATCACGACTTATCCTCGATGTCACATAGTGTGGTTAGCCGTCAAAGTCATGACGTCCTCCCGCTAGACGCCATAAGCGGCTGCTGACTATTAATATAAAATTTAAATCCGCTCCACGTTTCAACTGCTATGGATATAGCGTCTAGCGAAAGGATTTCCTGACCTAGCCTGCTAGCCACTGCCTGTGACAGTTATAGATAGACCTAGCAATATCCAGTTGGCTGAAACATATATATATATATAGACAGAGAGAGAGAGCCTAGTTATCATCCCCATGAACCAGTGGCTTAAGTTGTACTCTTGTTATCATCTGTATTTAACGGTTTCGGCTTCAAACCCCGGAGTGGACCGAGGGAACGCACACCAATGACATGCCCCAATACGGCGAAACGCGGCTGGTGCTTTTCCGGACTAGGCTGTGCTATGTAGCTTGTGAACTACTGGGTGGAATGCCTTAACATTTCGTATCGGCTTTTCAGCCCAACAGAGAAACATGAAAATATATAAGAGGACATGTTAGGTGAGAAGGGAGGAATTTGGTACAGTAGAGAGCAGGAATGACACCCTATGCCTAGTGCAGCCCTAGGCTTACGAGTGACGTTTCCTGCACATAGATTGCGAGTTTGATGCGGCCGACTGCGATTGCCTCTACACAACTTAAGAAAAGTGCCTTTGCACGTCTTGACACAATTGTAAACACTTTAGCCGATCAAACGGTTGACAGATGGTCAGTAAATCCCAACGCATGGAGGAATAAAGTAGCCTATGAGAACAGGTGGTATGAGCAACCTACGACTGGGTGAATTGACGCTGCAGCAATTTAGGTAGATGTTCCCTTATTCTAAAGTGCAATGAGCTGTTAGTAGGGCCGATGTAAGGCATATCACAACTAAAGGTCAATTGGTCAATATGATATACCTGACGCACACACTGTTTACACATGTCGTTATTTGTAGGCTTTTTCTTCATCGAGTACGATTAAAGTATGATTAACATAGAAGATAAAGTTGAGGTAAAAGTGGGAATCTGTATAGACGAGAACCAGGAGCCGGTTAATAGACTGTGGTAGATGACGGGTAAGTGATAAACGTGCTTCGAGACTATGATGGCAGGGTGCATGGAGTTTGAATATACCCAGTGGGTTGTAATCAAGATATGAAATGACTAAAGATACATGGAAGCGCACAAAACTTCCCAGTGAAATCAGCTATGTCGTTTTACCGCTGATGGAGGGAGAATTATGACTGGAGTAAGGAAAGGTCTAATACGGTAGGTAAGGATTCAGTTATTTGGTTTGCATAACCGGGTTGCTCTGCTAATCCACTGTATATTACATCAAATCGCAATCTGTGAGAAAAAAACTGGATATTTCTTTTGCACAGAAAACTAATCGATTGAATCGTTAATATTATTCGAGGACATACGCTCCGTCAGCGTCAGATAGTCTTTCTGAAGGATATCGATACAGAGTTATGTACTTAACTATACTGCGCATCAGTAAGGTGGCCCAACTGCGGTAATTTCGCTCTCGGTTTACAAGCTCCGAAATGAAGTGGCTGCATTCTTCACATACACAAACCTCAGTTCCCACCTGGTCATCAAAATTTGAATATCTGGTTGACGTCGAATTGCAGATGAATGTACCAAGTTAGCACCGACAAAGAAAGGAAGACCTTTCCTGTAATTACTAAAGAGGTGTCAAATGATATCAGATAAACTGCCATTGTTTGCATGACAACTGGAAGTAGAAAATTTTGTTTGTTCACCGTTTAAATAGTTTAACCTTACGTCTACAATGATGTCTCTCATGGTTTCCCGCGTAAAGGATTCATGACCTGGAGAGGCGTTTATTAGTGAACTTTCAGAGCTCGACCGAATTGTGAGCAGAATCTTTCCTGTCCTAGTAGCCATTTGACTGCAAACTGGATGAAATACATCTGAAGATACTTGGGTTGCAAGCAGTTGACTCGTCGAAACAAAAGCACAGGAAAGGAACATGAATTTTACGCTGCACTCCAGACGTTACGTTGCTGTAACAAAATAAGTTTGCACACGGGATGGCATCAGTGAGTAAACATTCTCAACATTGAGGTGTGCGAAATTATCTGATCCAACAACACTAACTTATGAATATATATAGGCAGTTCGCTTGATTGGAATCATCCCTATCAAAACAAATATTGGTAATATTTTGTAGGTCATATCTCATTAACAGAAGTCCATCCGGATGCTTGAACTAAACCTCTGGGGTA